CACAAACAGGTACCGGCCCACCCCCACACACAGTGATACAAAGGCATTATAAGCATTCAATAGCCAGTATAACAACATAAGACCCTTTGCACATTTTCCACTGATAACAAACACCACCACTGGGATTATACACTGGATATAAGTGTTAATCCATCCCCCCCACGCAAGCAAATGGGCCAGCATTGCAAACATTTTCTTATCAAACAAACACAAATACAAACAGAAAGATTACACCCAACAGATTGCTCTACCACACTCTGGTCAGCATCTGCCCCACGTTGGTGTGCCAATTTTTAATGTACAACAGTATCAATGGTAACAACAATAAACAGCAATAACAGTGAACTCATGCTACTGCCCGGAACACCATCCTGGGCCTGGAAAAGCAAGTCCTCTGGAGACATGGCACCCCTGAGAGGATCGAGTCAGACAATGGCACTCATTTTAAGAACAGCCTCATCAACACCTGGGCCAGAGAACTCGGTATCGAATGGATATATCATATCCCTTATCATGCACCAGCTGCCGGGAAAGTTGAACGCTGCAATGGACTACTTAAAACCACCCTAAAGGCACTTGGTGGGGGTCTTTCAAAAATTGGGAAGTGAACTTATCAACGGCCACCTGGATGGCCAATACCCGAGGGTCCATCAATTGAGCTGGTCCCGCCGAGTCTGAACCCTTGCACACAGTGGATGGAGATAGAGTTCCTGTGGTACACCTGAGAGGTATTTTAGGAAAGACTGTTTGGATTAATCCCACCTCAGATAAAGGCAAACCTATCCGTGGGATTGTCTTTGCTCAAGGACCTGGTTACATTTGGTGGATAATGCAGAAAGATGGGGAAACCCATTGTGTACAACAAGGAGACCTAATCTTAGGTGAGAACTGTGTGTAGGGTTTCATTGTATATATATATATATATATATATATATAGGTGCGGGGGGCATGTGTAGAGTTTAAGGAAGGTATTGATTTGGGATGATGGAGATAATAGAATAAGGGGTGGATTATGTCCTGGGTTGCAGTGTATTCTATTACCATCCTCATGAGCTGTGGAAATCAGGTGGGGCAGTGTTTCCTTGTTTCCCCTCCCTCCCTCCAGACCATCTTTCTGTTAATGGCCCATCAATGCCATGCAGCATGACTCATTATCCCATTGTGAGATGCTCCACCCAGAGGGAGAAAACCAGCATTCCATCCTGGATATAACCTGAGATTCTGGATACCAGAGGCCTCTCTTTTCCACTGGATTTCCAGAGGACAGGAGCTGCTTAGCCACCACTGGACTTTTCTGAGGAAGAGCAGATTTTTTTTTTTCCTCTACAAGATGACTGCTTCAGGGGGACTGCAGCCACCATTCTACCAGACTGCTACCACCACCCTGATTAACAGGGTCAGGTTGTATCCTGACTCTGTTAGTTTAACCCAGTGTTATCTGCCTTTATAATTTTTTTTTCTTATTAAATTGTTATTCTGACTTTGTGTCTCCCACTAGTTTGTTTTCAAACTAGCACAGTCCTTAAGCAAAGGGTGATTCCAGCAGGGTGAGATCACAACCATCGACTCATGGACCACCTACTCACGTTACATCACAGACCCATTTCTAGCTTTCACTGTGCATAATCAGAAATAGGAGAATGTGTTAATGATGTCTTAGAAATTGTATGTTTATGTATGAAGACTTAATGAATATGTATGAGTAAGTTCTATATAAGATGTATGATTCTGGTGCCCGGCACATGATGTTGGTGAGAGCACTCCCCATCACGTCCAGCCATCAATAAAGTAGTGTCTGCTTATCTGCATCAAATTGGTGTCGATAAGTTTGTATTCCAGTTTTTTGGTAACATTGCTTGTATCAAACATTTCTTGTTTATTACAAGCTGCTATACCTTCACACTTACATTGCATTTTTCCACAATTCTATCTATTCTCTGTGTTCTCTGTAATTTCTTAGAAATCAACTGATTATCCAGCATAACCATTTCAGATTAGACAGTATTTCTCATGCAACATTTTATTGTAAAAATAATTTGAGATTTACAGTTCAGATCTCTTTAACCTTAAGCACATTCTACAAGTGTGTTCCATTCTGGATGAAGCTGTACTTCAAGAATTAAGACAATAATATCTCGTCTCACTGTAGATTCAGAAATTGATTTTCACTAGAACCATTAAGTGAAGCCAACAAATGCAGCAAAAGCTGGAGTAAAGCTATGGCTTGATACTTCTATTCATACACATGCAGAAGAGCGTAGGCAGTTTCAAACCAGCACTCCAGACAACGAAACCTATGCTAATCAGAAAAATACTCTAATGCTAGTTGAACCACTCTGCAAGACAGACATTTAGTCATTTAATGGCCAGAGACTTTTACAAATGATCTTCTAGGTCCTTCTGCTTCATGGGTTCACTTCTCCATGCAGGCAGCTCATTTCACTTCTGCCTGCTGAGACTTCCTTTCATTAGCCGCTTTTTGTTTTTGCTGCATAATTTCAGAGTCTCTGTGAAGAAAAAAAGTTGCATTTCATATACTGGCTCACTGTTTTTCGAAGTAGTCTCCTCCAGCTTGGTTTTGCCCTTTAACAACCCCCATTTCAAGGGAAAAAGATTAGTATAAAACTTCTCAGCTATGAGCACACTGTTTCTATTATCCTGTTGCTTCCAGTACATTACTCCATGAGGTAGACAAGTTACTTGGTTAGTAGACCTTATAGAATTCTTTTGATTTTAGAAGGACACAATGGGTTAAACAACTTCAAGAAAGTATTACACAATATTTTCATGTTGATACTAGGCAAAAAGCTGTTCAAAGGAAATAAAAGCTTTATAGGTCTTACCAAAAATAAATCTATCTAACAATAGATACTGTAAAACCTACATCCACAGTTTATGCTCTGATATATGAATGGACTGTGAATCAAAGCAATTAAATGCTGTTTCAGCTGAGACACTGGGTTCCTTCTGACCCGTTTTATTGTATCATAGAATCACAGAATTGTTTGGGTTGGAAGGGACCTTAAAGATCATCTAGTTCCAAACCCCTGCCATGAGCAGGGACACCTTCCACCAGACCAGGTTGCTCAGAGCGCCATCCAACCTGGCCTTGAACACTGCCAGGGATGGGGCAGCCACAGCTTCTCTGGGCAACCTGTGCCAGTGCCTCACCACCCTCTCACTAAAGAATTTCTTCCTTATATCTAATCTAAATCTACCTTCTTTCAGTTTATAACCATTATGCCTCATCCTATCCCTACACTCCCTGATAAAGAAAGGGTCCCTCCCCATCTTTTCTGTAGCCCCCTTTAAGTACCAGAAGGCCGCTATATGGTCTCCCCAGAGCCTTCTCCAGGCTGAACAACCCCAACATTCTCAGCCTGTCCTCATAAGGGAGGTGTTCTAGCACCCAATCATCTTTGAAACCCTCCTCTGGACTCACTTGAGCAGGTCCATCTCCTTCTTATGCTGGTGCCCCCAGAGCTGGACACAGCACTGCAGGGGCGGGTCTCCCAAAAGCAGAGTAGAGGGGGAGAATCACCTCCCTTTGACCTGCTGGTCACACTTCTCTTGATGCAGCCCAGGATACGGTTGGCTTTTCCCTCCTATTATGGGCAACCATTTCACTCAAATTTACTAGATCTTACCTCTGTTTTCTCTGAGAAGCAGACAAGCTATCTTCTTTCCTTTTCCCTTTGTGGATCTCCTGAGTCTTCTTCAGGTTCTTTTGGCGGGCAAGTTCACGCTGATTCCCACCTGTAAGATAACATATGGTTTATAAAGGTACCACACTTTACACATGGTTTGCATGTGTAGAAGTCCATTATAGAGGTGGTAAGGCTTGGCTCAATCTGCAGAGCTGGTATGGCAGTATCTTCTGTAGTTGGTATCTACCATCAGTCTCTCCCTCCAGTGCATAATGGGAGGCAAGAAAGCCTGTTAGTTCTCACATTTACATTTGTACAGGTCCCATGCAAACGATCACCAAAATCCATTCCAACATTCCTTCCAGAAACACAATTCAGATTCACATAAAAGACTGAAGGCCCCTCAATAGGCCAGGCAAAATTACCACAGTAACTCATCCCAAGAAGAGCCATCCTCTCCTCAAGATTCCAGCATCCAATATAGCTTACAAATCAATTTTAGATTGAAAGAATAGCATTAAAATGAGGGCAGCCTGAGAGAGTTTATAGGCTTCCTCAAACTCTTTCCACAGCCCTCTAAGAAATCAAAAAGCAATTGGCTGTATTTGGGTCCAGAAACTTCTACTTGGTTTCAGTCTGTAGTGTGTGCTGGGTTTGATTGAGTGGCAGGGTTTTTGGTAATCGAGGAGGGGGCTACAGCAGTAGCCCCTGTGAGAAGCTTCTCAAAAGCTTCCCTGGCTCCAAGTCAGACCTGCCTCTGACCAAGGCCAAGCCAATTAGCAATGGTGGCTGCACCTCTTTGATAACATATGAGTGATAATATTTAAGGAGGGAAACATGAGAGGGGGTTGAGACTTGTGAGGAAGAATTGTGAGGCATGCACCTATGCAAACACCAAAGTCAGTGGAAGGAAGGAGAAGTGGTGGAGGTGCACCAGAACAGAGGGCCCCTCTGTATCCTGTGGTGAGACAGCAGGGCCACCCTCCTGCCACCCATGGAGGTTCACAGTGGAGCAAAGGTCACCCTGCAGCCTGTGGAGAACCCCACACTGGAGCAGGCAGCTGCACCCAAGGGAGGCTGGGACTCTGTGGGAAGGCCCCGCTGTTGCAGTTCAGCACTGGGAAGACTGAAACACGCAGGGGTGACCTACGCCAGAGCAACACAGGAATGGCTGCAGCCTGTGGGAAGAACTCATGTCAGAGAAAGTTCATGGAGGGCTGTCTCCTGTGATAGAGACCCCACAGCAGAGCAGGGGAAGAGTGTGCAGTCAACTCTACCCCTCCCGAGGAGGAAGAAGTGTCGAACGGACTGCACGTCCCTCACGCTGCTGCAGGGTGGGGAGAAGGTAGAGAGATTGGGAGCAGAGGTGAGCCTGGGAACAAGGAGGGGGGCGGTGTGTGTTTTTAAGATGTGGTAATGCTTCTCACTGTCCCACTCTTAAGTGTTGTTTGTCTTTGTTTGAACTGATGTTCTTTTTCTTCCCCTAATGAGTCAGTCTTTTGCACATGACTAACTGGTGACCTACCCTTCCCTATCTTAATTCCTGAATATTTTTCTTCATTTTCTCCTTCCCAGTCCTGAGGGAGAAGTGAGTGAATGGCTGTGGTGCTCAGTTGCCCTCTGGGCTAAACCACAAGTGTTGCCATACAAAATCAGATGGATTCCATAACATCCCATGGTAAAGCACCATGAACTTTTAAAGTCTTGCTCATAACTAAGCATATAACTAGCAGTTATGGGCCTCACATGTATTTGTAGAAAGAATACACTTCTGCAGATGCCACTTAGAGATGACCAGTATAGTTAACATGTATGGGAACCCTGGTGTGGGGAATACAGTGTAAGACTGGCAAGAAGGATTGTAAACATGCTCAAGTGACTTGCAGCTGGGGTGCTAAAAACCACATATATCACACTAATTGTTGCTTAGGCCTGTGTGTTTGATGGGTAGAATGTGTGTTTAGATAACACAGGCCTGTGAGAAACTCAGAGGCATCTTACTGAACATCCTTGAGATTCCTGCCCTGCTGTGGGAAAGATCAAAGCAGTGGAAAAGTATGCCTGTGAAAATCCAGGATATATACACACGAAAGCAGCAAGCCCGAGATCTTCTTCTCTTTTCGCCTTTTTCTGGCCAGCAAGAACTGAGCTCCATGATGCCTGCATCCCCACTTGCATGCCTCTGCCTGAGATCTGCCAGGTCACAAGGTAACAGGAATTAATTTGCTATCTGCACTTGTTTTGTGGTTGTTCCTGTGTCCTGCCTGTGCTCACACACTTGGCTTTACTATTTACTGGATAAAGTCCCCGAAACTATTTAACACAGTATTCATAATGTATTATTGGGCTCTCGTAACCCAGAAGCTCAGCCTTACTATAGGAACTACGAAAGCAGACAAGACCATATAGTACACAAGCAGCTCTATGCAGGCTTAATAAATTTTTGCTCCAAGGCAGCTGACATGTATGCAGTAGGAGGCTATGCCAGCTATAGAGCTTCAGCCCAAGATTTTGTTTACCTACCACATACGACAGAGCCCCCTTCAAAGAAATGGAGCTAACAAAGCTCAAATTAAGACACAACAAAAACTCCAGTTCCTCATTAAGATGCCTTGTTTAGAATAAAACGACTTACTACTTCCCCAAAACAGGTGCATGTATATGTCCCTGCACAGAGTGGATAACCCTGATGCTGTTCACCTGCAAGATTATTTTCATGCTACTAGAGGAATTAGCAAACAAGCATTCAGAAGGGTCCTGTCCATGCACTATTATGGTTTCTGTTCACAGCTTTCTTTCCTGTGCATGCTTTTTAGATTTCATTGTTAACCAATATCTGTATTTTTCAATCTTCCTTATTTTACAAGTTCCTCTGTGTGGGTGTTTCCTTAACTTGGCAGCAAGGGCACAGTTATAGTTGTTCTACCTCCTTTGCCTGTGATGGGCCATTAGTCCATTCAATTAATTACACTCAAATACTATCTGTCACCAAAGTCCATGTAGAAGAAGGACCACTGTGTGTTCAGAAACTTAAGTAAAACAGCTAACTATATCTAGCAGTACTGATGTTGATTAGAACTTGATGATTCATGAGCAGATGATACATTCCAGGCTATAAATGGTTCTTGAGTTTCATGGTGCTCTGGAAGCATTAATGTCATATGAAGACAATGACCTGCCAGCAATGAGCATGTCTTCTGCAGTCTTTACGGAAATAAAGTAATTTTTATTATGAAAAGAGAGGCAGGAAGTCGAAACACACTGCTCTAGTAAGAATTCACATAGTAGTTACCCTCCACCCTTAACCTTATGCACTTCTCTGTCCAAGGAAACATTGTGCATGATGTCTGCAGAGTTATTCCACACACATGGTAATGTTAAGAACATACTAGTTGTTTAATCTTAAATAAGTAAGTTCTAAATAGAATGAACCGCTTAGACTTGTAAGGGTGTGCAGTGTGTGATTTAGTATGCTGTTCACTTAGCATAAGTGGCTAAGCTTGTCGAAGCCTTACACCAGCAAGCTGTAAACATTTGCTTAGATTTACTGAACTTGTATTGAACTTGTACCTACTCAAGCAAAATGAGGCCTTCAGAGCCAGCACAAACCAGAAAAAGGATACAAGTGTCAACAGCAGCTGTAACTAGACAAGGTAACAATCTGCCTGGAGACAGTGAAGAAATCCAATAAGGAACCAAAAGGTGTTGGAAGATTTCAAGCCAGAATCATCACTGGACTAAAGGGCACATGAAAGATGCATGGAGAATGTGTGAAGAGGGGGATGCACAATCTGTAAGGGTGTAATTGTCCAGAGATTTCTTTGTTTGGGGTTCCTCACAGCTCGAGCTGATCCTGCTGCTGTACCACTATTAATTATTTTTTATAAGATTCGATGCCTAAGGCTCTGCTTCAGGAAACCTAGAGTCTGAACTGCAGAGCAACTAACACCAGACTGATCTGTTGCTTCTTTAACAGATGGTAAATTTAAGAACCAAACTGAATGGCATCACTGAAAAGCTTGTCTGCCACTTCTGCACAGCAAAGCAGAGAAGGTAGAAAAGAGCATTGCAATACACACACAAGGCATACAGAGCCAAACAACTCTTTGAAAATAAACTTAACTTGTACCACCCCTACTTCCAAGCAAACATTGCCAAGGCCTGTTTGGCCCCAGTACTTCACCTGGGTATCCTTAACTCCCAGGAACACAGTGCTGCTTTCTACATTCTGCAAGATCAACCTATATCTTCTATGAAGCATGGTTCAGTCTGACAGAAGACAATTCAGCTTCCTCTAATGCAAAATTCAAGCATACAGGTCAATACACCCTTCCTGTTTATACCTATGTCTGAACACTTCCATCCCTGCCTGCCTCTGCAAGACACAGGCCTTACTTCAACCTGTCCCTGCTCTTCCAACTTCAAGATCTGGCTATTCATCAAAAGAAAGATAAGCAAAAGACCTCTGAATAGCACTAGAACAAGCAGTAATTATCTCTACTGTAAAGAGGTCAAAGAGAATGGCAGTAAGGGTTGGCTACTGAGGTCATCATCCCTATAGTACTTTCTAAGCAGCAAAGGATCTCACCACATGGTAGATCTTCAGGCAGAAGAAAAGTGCCTGCCACAGTGTCCCAAAAATAAAAAGAAAAGTAAATAGAGCCATGTGATGCAAGAACAAAGCAGTAATGGAAGACAAGTGACAAAAGAACCCTCCAATTCATCTAGTCATCACCATCTTCACAAATACATTCAGTTTTCAGGTACCCTGAAATATGGCACAGCAACAAGTACCATGAATTTATGAATTCAGAGGCACAGTAAGTAGTTGTTAATAAGCAATCAATTTTTATTCTGTTTTACTGTATGTCCATTTGAAACCACAGCATCTAGCCCAGGTCTGATTGACAAGAAAGCGCTGAACTCTGAAAACATGTACTAAAGCTAAGACTAGACTGTAGGGTAGCACATCACAGCTTTACCTCTAATATTTCAAATACTCTATTAAACTAGGTCATCCTAAAATTAAATGCTATCCTTTTGCTATGCTCAGCTGGGGGAGATGCTGTGCCTCTTTTTAACCTTAAGCTGTTTATTCTAGCACCAAACAGAACAGGGGAAAAAATATCAACAAAAGCCATAAACCTGTCTCTTCCTCACATTCAAGTTCTGATCGATGCACAAACTGTTTACGATCCAGGTCTTCATGTGCACTTTCAGCAGTACAGTAGCTTCGAAGCTATGTATTTTTAAGTGTGAACGTAAAAGCAACTCCTCAGTTAAACACAGGCGTTTCTGTATTGTCAAGTACAATACTCAGAAGCCAAAACAGTAACCTCACCAGTTAAATGAGCCGGAGTATTCTAGTTCACAGCTCTCCGCCATTTTAGCGTAGATACACCAACGTTACTTGTGAATAAGGTGGTGATTAGCAAGTCCCGTTGCCCTTTCAACGACAGCCTCAACAACCACCATTTAAGCAATGTCGTACAAAGTGTTCGGCAGTGATGTAAAAGCCCTTTATTTACAAACTGGACGGTAGCCAGGACTGAAACTGAGCGTATGTTCCAGCATAGCACCACCATTCTTTCCTTCTCCCGCCCTCAAACACAGCTACGCCAGGAGACGGGGTGAGAATGTTTTTCCTCCAAGCCTAGTGAGGTGGAAGGATGTGGGAAGCCTCAGCCCCACCAGCCCAAGCACTAACCGCGGATTTCCCCACGGGGACCATAAGAACCAAAACCCGACGGCAGCACCACACCACGGCCGCCCCGCCAGACCGGCTGGCCGGGTAGCCCTCGGCGTCGCGCCCCAGCCGCACTTCTCCACCGGCCCGGAGCCGACCGACCGCTCACCCGACAGGGCCCCGGAGCAGCCGCCCCTGGGGACTGCCGGCACTCACGTGTCATCGCGAGACGCTCCGGCCACGGAGCCCCGCTGCTGCCACCAACCTCCAGCCCAGCCTCCCCGCCTGGCCCTGACGCCCCTTATAACGCCTCGGCTGCCCCTGACGTCATTGCGGGACGCGACGCGCCGGCCTAGGGCCTGGCCCAATCAGCGGGCCGCGGCCGGGCGGGGCAAAGGGCGGAGACGCCCTCGGGGTGGTCGGGTGCGTCGCTGCGGCCCTGACGGCTTCCGCGGGGTGCGGCCGGGCGCGGTGGGCTCTGGGAGCGCCGGGCTGCCGTAAAGCGAGGGGCAGCGTTGCGGTAGGGTGCATGGCTGCGCTCGGTGTTGGGGCGGGTGAGGGCGGCATAAGCTGGCTGGGCTCTGGCCGGGGCAGGAGGTTTCAGAGGAGGCTGTGGTTATACGAGTGGAGGAAAATGGGGCTTTGAACCGCGGTTGTATAAGAGTACGTGGATTTTGATCAAGTGGAAAAAGAAATCCGTACAGAGCATTGTTTGTTAAAATCACCAAATATAGTCAGAAAAAAACAAACCCAAAACAGTTGGTTGCTGCTTTCTTTGGGCACTACTCGCTTTTTCTAGTTTTGCCCGCTGAGAGCGAAAGCATACCTTTCCCTACCCGAGGATGTGGGGGTTTGTTAATACTGCCCAAGCTCTCCTACAGAAAAACATTCACAGCTGCAGAAGGTCGCAAAAGGATAAAAGAGAAGAAATTTAGCAAAAGGTAAAACGCGATGTTTCTCATACAATCGGCAGCTCAGAATCACTAGCTATAAACATGGTTGCATAGTTCTAGGATATAATTACTGTTAAGATTTATGACCAACAGAATGCTGATCTGAAACCATGCTGTGGAAAATTACTATTTTTGTGTCCTTTAGGTGAATATAGCTGATTATAATATGAAAACCACACTTTTATAACTTGCTACCTTTTCATGAAGCCCTTCACTCTTTGAGCATGAGTACATTAATAGGTAGATACTGTGACTTTAAATGAAAGTTGTGATAAGTGATCAAGGGTAATAAGCAGATCAAACGAGGTTTTTAATAAAAGGAATGATCTTGCTGCAACAGATCTGAGAACATCCTGTCTGTCTGGCAAGGGAGAAAGGACTTAAGTGAGAGGTTGCAAGATGTACTGTCTCAAGGCAACTGTTAAACTGCAATCTTATGTTACCACGACAACTGCTGAACTTTTGTCTTTAAGTTTAGACTTTAGTGTAAAAAAGATGTTTTGTAATTTACAACTTCACAGCTCCTTGTTAACAGATGCACAACCCCATTGTTATGTGACTGAAAGCCTATGTGCTCAAAAGGACAAACCAACCTTGAAGCTAGTGCCAGCCTTAAAAATCTTATAATAACAAAAAGAAGCTTAGAGGCGTGCTAAAGATGCCGAAACTGACCTCCGTGAGGATAAAAAGGCTGTTACTTGTTGGAATTTGCGAGCCTTGGGTAGAGCTGCGACTCCCCGGCCGCCCAGCGCGCTGTTTTTTGCTTTCCTACCTTAATAAATGTTTAGTGAATTCATTTCGGACCCTAGTAATTTAGTTCAACTATAACAAAAGTGAGTCATAAAACTAGCCAATAGATGATACTGTGGTAAAATACTAACCAATAGTTATGTATAGAGGCGTGTGCTTGTGTGTTCAGCATCAAATAAACACGGTGTGTGTTTGTAACTCAGTGTGCTGGCCACTTGGAATGCCCAGCACCCTTTTCCGTGCTGGACTGTAATAAACACAGGTATCTCAACTCTGTGTTAAATGGCTCTTTGCAAGACGGGGTGACGAACCCTGTTTGGGGGACAGCAGGAGCCTCCCTTGTTTGCTTAAAATTGATCATCGTGTGGAAGACTAAGGCTTGGCCAGCCGTTTACCAGGTGCCTGAATTAAGAAAAAAAATACCGAAACAAAAAGTCTCCCGAGCAGCTGAGGAAACAACCCCCAACCCGCGCAGACGCCCCGCCCTGCCTCTTCCTGCCTCCGCTCGCCGGTGGGTTGCGGAGGGATGCCGTGAGGCTGTGGAGCTGCCGCCGCGTTCGCGGGCGGGCGCGCACGTGCCTCTAACGAGCGTCAGGAGCGAGCTGACGGCGCCATGTTCCGCCGGGCCCGCCTCAACGTGCGGCCCAATGTGCGACCCGCGGGCAGGGTCGCCGGCGGAGCGGCGGACCCGGACCCTCACGGCTTGGGCTCCCCGGCGGCGGTCAGAGCAGAGGCTGCGACGGGAGAGGCGGCCGAGCCGC